GTTTGACAATAACGTGACAGGAATAGCTCCAACTGCTTTGAATAGATTATTGTCCCCCTCCATTGAAGTTCCAGACTGTGGAATCCTACTAAACAAATGCGACCAGCCCTCAGCCAGCCAGGTGCTGTGCTTATGGATACAAGTGGTCATCATTTTGCTTGGTTCTCTGAGGGATTTCAAAATTTGAGCAACCATTTCAGCCCCCAACAATCATACGGTTGAATGGAAAGAGAAGGCAAACAGAGGAAGGGGAAGGATTTAGCAATAAGAAGTATTTCTTTGGAGATTCAACTTCTAAGCCACAAAATCCTAGCAAAAGATAGATTTTAAAATGCTATCTATCCAGGTTGGGTGTGGTGGCTCACACCTGTAATCCCAGCAGTTTGGGAGGTGGAGGCAGGGGGATCACTTGAGGCCATGAACTTGAGATCAGCCTGAACAACATAACAAAACTCTGTCTCTACTAAAAAAAAAAAAAAAAAACTTAAATTAGCCAAGCCTGGTGGCACATGCCTGTAGTCCTAGCTACTCAGGAGGCTGAGGTGGGAGGATCACTTGAGCCCAGGAGTTTGAGGCTATAGTGTAGCTATCATAGAGCCACTGCACTCCAGCCTGGGCAAGACCCTGCCTAGAAAAAACAACAACAACAACAACAAAATGCTATTCATGCAGTCCATTTTTAGATCTTTGGGCATTCCTCAGAAAGTATTCTCAAAAAATAACAGGCAAGAGTTATCATGCCCAATCTTTCTATGCTAATAGAATATTTGATTGCAAGGTGAAGAATCAGTCAGTTTCCTTCAAACTTCACTCACCATTGAACTTTTGGAGGGATTTGAATTAATCATTCTAGATGTATTTGGAAACATGGTCACTGTAAAGCAAAGAATAGGTATTAAACCTCATTTAGAAATCCAAAGCCCTTAGACTCATCATGTACCCTAAAAATGGAAAAGAATAATTTTAGTATTTTCCACTTGGAGTCAGATGAAAAATGCATCTCGTAACTAATGGAGGGCACAGAAGGGCAGGGACTACATCTTCTTATTCACAACCATGTCTCTGTGGCAAATGAAATACCTGGCATGAACTGGTGGAGTGAACTAATGATCCAGTGCTCTGGCTTCATAATATGGAGTTGGCTATAAGTATTGATTCAAATCAGCACAACTGGCCGGGCGCGGTGGCTCAAGCCTGTAATCCTAGCACTTTGGGAGGCCGAGGTGAGTGGATTGCCTGAGCTCAGGAGTTTGAGACCAGCCTGGGCAACATGGTGAAACCCTGTCTCTACTAAAAAAAAAAAAAAAAAAAAAAAAAAAAAATTAGCCCTGCATGGCAGCGTGCGCCTGTAGTCCCAGCTACTCGGGAGGCTGAGGCAGGAGAATTGCTTGAACCTGGGAGGCAGAGGCAGGAGAATTGCTTGAACCTGGGAGGCGGAGGTTGCAATGAGCCGAGATCGTGCCACTGTACTCCAGCCTGGCAACAGAGCGAGACTCCATCTCAGGAAAAAAAAAAAAAAATTCAGCACAACCAAGGTCAGTGGCAAATTACTGTTCAAAGCTCTTTAAATATATTTTTAAAAACATATTTAAAATTGTGATGTCTAACATGACATTCACATGTTCAAAGGGACCCCAAAACCAGCATGTTAAATGAAGTCTTGACTGGGCGTGGTGGCTCGCACCTGTAATCCCAGCTCTTTGGGAGGCCGAGGCAGGTGGATTGCTTGAGCTCGGGAGTTTGAGACAAGCCTGGGCAACATGGCAGAAAAAAAAAAAAGAAAATTGGCTGGGCATGCTGGCGCATGCCTGTGGTCTCAGATACTCGGAAGGTTGAGGTAGGAAGATCTTGAGCCTGAGAGATGGAGGTTGCAGTGAGCTGAGATTGCGCCACTGCCCTCCTGCCTGGGTGACAGAGTGAGACCCCATCTCAAAAATAAAATAAAATAAAATAAATAAATAAAGTGAAGTCTCCATCAAGTAAGGGGAGAAGTGTATATTAAAGCCCTAATATGTGTCTAATACTATACAAGGCGCTTTGGGGCACAGAAGGAAGAGTACATGGTGTATGCACACAATGAATGTAGCATGCACCAGACCTGCCTACAAAAGTTTCAGAAGCCAGGAGCAAAGATGGTACTAGCACGACAATGTGATTAGAGAAATAAAATGCTATGCAAGTGTCCAAGGAAAATATAAACTAGGTAAATACAGGTCTTAGAAACATATTTTCTTCCTAGCTTGCTTTGTTGTACATCTCTGCCTTACATTTGTAATTTCACCCCTTCTCATTACATACAGAGAAAACCTAGTTGAGTCCCAAATTGGTGTGTTTGATTCTCTTAGATTGCAGTGTAAGCCACTCTTGAAAGCGTAATCTAAAAGAAAGAATTTGGGGAGTGTGGAGTGGGGAGGGTATTTTTTCTTATTTTCTTGCTAGGCTAGTGAAGGCTACTAGGGTAAATGAAGCATTGAGTGCTTTCAACGTTCTTAAACAATGTTTTAAGTTTACATTCTTGAACAAAGAAAGACTCAAGATTTTTTATTTTGACTTTTTGTCTGTAATGTTGTCTCTAAAATGCACTGTTCTTTCTAGTAAGCACAAAATTGACCCCATATGTTTAGAAAAAAATGCAAAAATATTTTCTTTTTGTCTCTTGAGGAATTAGATGCTTCTTTAGGGGGAAAATAAACAGACCTTCCTTGTGCATTTAAAAGAGACAATACCTGATTCTGACTATAATGGGTCTCTTACACAGCCGAGAGACTCAAGGTTTGTTAAGATTTTGAATCCCCCCTCCCCCCCATACACACTCAATCTTTGCATACACAGCCCAAAAGCTGTGTTGTTCTCCCAAAAGAATAAAAATAGCTTTAAAATTCCAACCACTGGAAGGCTGTAAATGTGGCTGTGAAGGTTGACAAATTTGCGAGATTTCAAAATGAAGCCAGCTCAATCTCAAAGGTCCTTTAGTTAGTCTCTTTTTATTTCCTTTATTTTTGCTTTGTCTTGATCAATTCAAAATTTGCAGAAATCCCAGACTAAACTGCGTGACCTTCAGGGCTTACTTAAGCTACCTTGGCCTGTTTTCTCCTGTGGGGAAGAGAAACAGTCATAGGGTCTCCTTCAATCCCAACATTCTCTCATTCTAAGGGTAAACCTAATGTCCCCTTTGTATCTGTGAAAAATACTGTCGACTCCCAAGTCCTACGTAGCAGGAACATATATCCCCACACTGATTCATAAATACCCCCAGCCCTTCTGGGAAGAATCTCTCTTGGGAAAAACAAAGAATCCCCCGTGAAAATTTAGAAAATAAATAAATGGAGTCTCTCCCATCCCCAGGTGCAGCAGTTAAGTGTATAGAGTGTGATATGGGCAGAAGAAGCTTCTGAATTTCCCCATTCCACACGTCAAGCAGCCTGAATTCAACCTTTACCAGATTTTTTATCTTATTTTTATTTTTTGCTATGTTTTAGCTTTGTCCCTTTAGGAGAGAAAGGCCTTCTATTCCATGAATCATCCCTTTTCGTAAATGTTCCTTCTTCAACAGGAACTCTGGAGCTGTGTTAATTTCTTAAAATCTTCTTTCGTCTTTGCATTGTTTGAAAAAGGCACACAGCAAAAACCTACGTGGGAATGGTTTCTCTTTGTGCCTTGGGCATTTGCACTGTGCCCACACCCTTCCTTATAGGCAAGAAAAGAAAACTGCAGGGCTCCAGGCCCATCTCCATCTTGAGATGGCTCCAGAGCCTTTGTGCTTACTCCTCTCTTCACCCAGCTGAGCGGGCTGTGGCGCTTCAGGTTTTGCAGCAGCCTCTGCAGCAGCGGGTACGCACCCCTTCCCTTGCAACGCAGAGCAAGGCTTCTAGCCTGATGGTCTACTTGATTGTCTAAACCACAGGTAAATGGTTTCCTGTGCATTTCTCAAAATAAGTGTTGAGCAAAGGAAATGAAAGCAACCAGTTTAATAGTGATCAACAATTTTCCCTACCCCTCCGCTTCAAAGAGGGTATTTTCATAAGTCGGTTTTGAGAGAAAAATGTTTAACTTCTTGGACATTTGCATTGTAAAATTTAGCTTTGCAGAGCATTCAGTCAACTAAAAGCCTTCTTAAATGCTGTTTCGGCTTAATAAAATTGGTGCTTATTTAAAAAAAAATTCTCCACCCTTCCCTACAGAACCGAGGAATCCATTAAGGACCTTATAGAATGGCAAATCTTTTTTAACTCTTAAAAAATTGATGTTGTTCCCGTCTTTCCGCACCAAGGACTTTGCTTTTACCCATCAGCGAAAATAACTTCCGATGATTGAGAAGTTATCAAGGACTTAAAGACCTAAATGTGAGTCAATTAATTCCTGCTGGATTTAAACTTAGTACAAATCTCACCTGTGTCCTGCTAGTGTCCTTTAAACCCAAAAGATCGAATAAGTATCTTTTAAATCCAAAGATTATTCAAACTAAGAGGACTCAATAAATTTAAAATCATGTTCACTAATGGTTAACTGTATTCATTAAAGCAATTGTAAATATTGAACTCTAATATAGAAACCGGCCATTAGAAAATGAGTAAGCAAAAGTCCTAAATTCCTTAACGCAGCTGCTAAAAATGTAATTTTTACTCGTCTGTTAATACTAGCACTTGGTTAAATAACCAAGTTCAATTTGATGCCTGAAATAAGATACTGTGCTGTAAATTATCACCTTCATTTTCTTGAGCACGTGCAATAAATGCAATGTCAGCTTATCAAAACCCGTAAGAACTGCAAATATATTTTTATTAAAGTTCTCATACAACTCATACTAGGAATTCAATCAGCCTGAGAAAATGATCACCTAGTATAGACAAGGTATTTTGCATACCTGGGTGAAACCCATTTCTACACCATAAGGGAATTTATCCAGTCACCAGATGCTTGTCCCTCCCCAGTGGACCAAGAGGTTAGGCCTCTTTGCAAAGGTTTCATCCGCGATCCTTCCAGAGACCAGACACACCAGCTAAGTTTTTAAACTTTTTATTTGCATATTAAAAAAATTGTGCATTCCGATAATTAAAATCATTTGAACAAAAAAAAAATGGCACTCTGATTAAACTGCATTACAGCCTGCAGGACACCTTGGGCCAGCTTGGTTTTACTCTAGATTTCACTGTCGTCCCACCCCCACTTCTTCCACCCCACTTCTTCCTTCACCAACATGCAAGTTCTTTCCTTCCCTGCCAGCCAGATAGACAGATGGGAAAGGCAGGCGCGGCCTTCGTTGTCAGTAGTTCTTTGATGTGAAAGGGGCAGCACAGTCATTTAAACTTGATCCAACCTCTTTGCATCTTACAAAGTTAAACAGCTAAAAGAAGTAAAATAAGAAGGCAATGCTTGTGGAATGTACAGTGCATATTGGCGGCGCACGCCTCATTACGATTCGCCTGCTTGCTTCTCCTGTTCAATCGCTGTGACCAGAAAAAGAAAAAAAAAGATGGAGGGAGATGATTAAAGGATTCAGTACAGACTACTATAAAGGGCTTTCATTTAAAGCATCTTTTCAAATCAAACATTCTGCAAGGTATTCCATAATGGAATAAAATATGTATATTGAATATACTAAATAGAAGTATATTTTAACGGACAAATGTGTTTTTATATTAATATGGCATATTAAATATTCCATAACTAAATTACTAAAGCCCTGTGTTTGTTGGCTGCAAAACCATTTTTAATTAACCTTTGCAAGCCACATTCATCAGCTGTCGGCTCTTCCCCCGCACTCCCCCCTCCCGAATTCTTCCCGCGGCCCCTCCCAGCCTCCCGCCCTCCCACCGGCCGCTCCCACCCAGCCTTTCTAAAGATGGGGGTGGGTCGGAGCTTACTTTCTTTGGAAGGCAGTGGATTTTTCTCTTGCGTCTCTGTCTTCTTCAGTTTCGACTTATCGAATTTCTCGATCTCAGCCATATCGGGTTTGTCAGACATGGTTGCGGAGGAAAAGCTGCAGGGAGCAAGCCAAGAGCGAGCGTGAGGAAGAGCCACCCACCCCCAGTGTCTCTGGGCTGGGAACTGCGCTTCTGCCCTGCGACCCGCAGCCTGAAAACCCTTCTCGCCCTCCTTCCGCTGCCGTTCCACACTCACGAGCTTCCTCTTTCTACAGAAAAAGGGGCGACACTCCCCGCGCCCCTCCTCCCCATATTTCAAAACGCTGGGGACCAAAGAGGGCGGATGCCTCTCAAAGCCGAATCTTGCAGAATAAAGGAAATTGACCAATGCGAATTGTTCATTACAGCGTTTAAAATTAAAGGCTGGCTAGGACAAGGAAATAGGAAAGCCACTTCCGAATTCAAGTGGGAAAAATCGGCAAGAATTCTTAAAATGGAACCCAGGTAGCAAAAGCGTTTCCTTTTTCTAGCCGCGGCCTCTCCGCAAAGGATGCGGGCCGGATCTGGCTTTCTCGTCCTCTCACAAAGGCGGCGGCCGCGGCTGGAGCTTCCGACCACCGCCCTACCCGCTTCCTCGCCCGCGCCACAATGCAGCCCCGCACACAAAGCGACTGCCGCGCGCCCCGAAGCCGGTCTTGCCTGCTCTCCCGGCAATTCGGCATCCCTGGCACACATGTCTCTGCAAGAAGGGCTGTGAAAATGTCATGGCACAGCCCCACCGCCGCCAGGCTGCACAGATGCAGCCCGCGCAGCCGTCCGAGACTGGGAGGAGGCTCGGGGCTCGGGAGATGAACCTCAGAACAAAGGACCTGTCTGTTCTCCCCCATCTCAGCCTCCCAGGCAACGCACAATACCTTTGCGGGCAAACACTAAGAAATTTTTTAAGGTCCCCTCCGAGCAGCACGGCAAAACGCCAGTTTTTCGGTTTTGTTCTTAAATCATCGATTTTCCCACCCCATTACCCAGCATCTAGGGTGTTTCGCACCCCCCCAGCTCCCCAAAGCAGCCTGCCCCGGGAGAACCACTCAGGCTCGGCTTTAGGAAATGCCTTCACAGGGAAGCGGATGATGAAAGGGCGAGCACCGTGGGAAGGGGACTGAGGCAGGAAGGCAGGAGGAGGAAGGAGGAAGGGGCCCTGGGGCTCACCGGAGCGAGGCGCACGAAAACGAGCGAAGTCTGGTCTGAGCAGTGGCCACCACCGAGTTGTCGGGCGGGGTGCGGCGGGCGCCGCTTTATGGGCGCTCCTATGTAAATGAGGTGATGTCACCCGCCGGCCCGCTTAACTCCTTCGCGCCGCGTCTCGGAACGGCATCCGGAGGCCTGCCAGGCTTTTGGGGAGCCCCACCCCCACCCGGGGTCCACTAGTGCACCCTAACCACAACATGGCGAAAAAAATAAATGAGCAAAGCACGCTCCAACACTTCCTTCATAACACATTTTCCCCTTTTACGTTTATTTCATTACGATGAATTTTTGCAACAGCAGCGCAAAAATTGCTCTTGGGGACCAGTGCATAATAACTAAGGGTCGGGGTGGCACCTAGGGTGACAGGCATTCTTTTATTGCGAAACTGCCTTTGTCTACTGTGGACATCTCCACACAAGGGCGCGGTGTCTCTCGCTGGAGAGCCTGGCCGGCTGCAGGGGTACGATTCCTGTGACTCAGCTTTCAGACCAGTGGAGGGCATGCGCCCCACCCCGGGCCTCTTTGTCTTCCTCGCTGGCGTTCCTCTTGCCTTGGGTGGGACGTAAAGCACCCTTAAGTGATTTTAAAAGAGAAAGTTTCATCACTGTAACATCCATATTGTTTCATCAGCATAATTTTTGTGACCACTCAACAGTAATATTTGCTGGGTGTAGGGTAATTTGTCTGGAGTTTATAGGGTAAAACACCTCCCTCTTAGCAAAATAAGTCAAGCTCAAGCTCTGCCATTGACTTTACTGCCTGGCAATGAGGAAGTTCTTTACCTTCCTCTTCCTTATTTTCATAAATTATAAAAGTGATGGCTAAGGAGGCCTGCGTTGAATTCCGAAGACGACAGTTACATGATCTCTAACATCGTAAGGTGAAATTCAAAAATCAAATTATATTTTCAAGGGAGCGTTTCCAGCACTAGAACATCTCTGAAGTGCATCTGCATCTGGAAATATAAGAAATTCGGGTAGAGGGAAGCAGTTTTCAAAATGGCACCTGACTCTGTGAATACCAGTGACCCACTTGCTACTGAAAATTAGTTACAAATACCATGGCACGCGCCTGCAAATGGCGTGTGAAAGGAAAAAGACTCCCCGGTTATAAAGAGGCCTAGCTGTGATTATTTCTAAGAAACAAGGCAGTGTGCAAAATATTCCTTCTCCTTTTCCGTGGCCTGGGGAAATGTTTCTAGAAACCCCTTGCTAATCATTTTTATGGCACAGGCTTTTGTCTCGCTGGGGATTAGAGTCAACCTTATATATAGACCCTTGAATGCCACTGCCAGCAGCTCGGACTTCCCCGTTTCTTCATCTACTTCGACTTCCTTTTTCCTGGGGAGGAAAGAGGTGGGGGTGAGCAGGGGCAGGTGACCGTCTGGTTCCCTAGTTAATGCTCTGCTGGGTGGCTGCCTTCCTGGCCTCCAAATGGGGCACTGGACCTGTTCGTGCATGCACCGAATGTCACCTGTCTGGTATCAGTCGCCCGCCTCTGTTCCATGTTGGGAGTCCACTTCATTGTTGAAACACAGAAAAGATCTTGCAGGGTGCCTTTAGAGCTGGCAGCTGCTGTTGTACCGACACCGTTTCCGCAGGTTCTGTGATTCCATTTCCCCTCGCCCAGCTGCTGTCGAAAATCATTTCTTTCCTCCCAATGTCTCCTGATGACAAAGGAGTGCCACTACCTTCTCCTGGCTTCTTCTCCCAAGGGCCTTTCCTCAGAAAGAGTTAGGCCTCACTGAAGCAATTCTCCAAAGGAGATGGACGAATGCAAACTTGGAAATGTCTGGAGAAGTTTTCCAGTGCAGTAGCAAGCAGCCTTCCACTGTGCTGGAACACTGATAGAGGCCAGGTGGGAACAGAGAGGAAGAGAAAGAGATGACTGCTTAAAGGAAAAGAGTTCCCATGATTGGGATTGACCTGCAAACGGGTCAGGAGACAGAGAGAGACACGAAAGGGAAGGGTGGTGCAGATACAAGGACATGCAAACCAAAGGAATATTCTTAAAAGTTGCATGAGTGGCCATGTGAATGAATCTTTCTGTGCTGGAGTTTTCTCATCTGTAAAATGGGTTCATTGCAACACGGACCTCACAGGGTTGTTGGGAGGATTAAATGCTTCAGACAGTGCATGACAATTAGTAAGCTCTTTCTATTGTTATTATTCATATTATTTAGGATGGAAGGTTGAGGAAAAATAATAAAATAATTGTCTGTGTTTAGAATTAAAATTTTTAGGTGTCTTGATATTATTTCTCCTATACATTTATATATTATTATATATTATTTCTATATAATTAATATATATGAATATATATTATTATTTTCGCTTACAAAATGTTGATAGAAGATCTTTTGGTAGTTCTACAGCAAATACAAAATGATGACTCCTGTCAGTTGATACTTTCTAAGAGTCAGGCATTGTAACAGAAGTTTTATATTTGTTTTTTCCTTTCTTCCCCACCGCCTTTCCATAAGAAGTTTCCAGATGGGGAAACTGAGGCTTAGAAAGCCATCATTGGGTTACATCAGCTGGTAGCCACTCTGTTGTATATGCCAAGAGCATACAAAAGTCCTCCCCGCATCCTCTTAGTCTGTACCCGAGAATCACCAGGAAGAGTGTGAGGAGCTAAGCTGTTGTGCTTTCCACAGTGTCTGGTGGATAGTAGTTGCTCAATAACAGTTCTCCCACTGCACTGAATTGATTTTCTTTTCTTTTCTTTTTTTGAGACAGAGTCTCCCTCTGTCACCCAGGCTGGAGTGCAGTGGTGCGATCTCGGCTCACTGCAACCTCCACCTCCCGGATTCAAGCCATTCTCTGCCTCAGCCTTCCATGAATTGATTTTCTTACATGAGGGAGGTACTTGAACTCAGGTGTTGAACCTGTGACTCCAATTGCCTCGCTTTCTTCTCCTCAGATAATTAAATCCATTTAGTCTTAATGTTCTAGATGTCAGAATGTTCCAGGATCATTCCTGCCCCAGGCAGTTACATTTATAAGTCTGTTAGTCTGTGCCGGGCACAACTACCATTGAGGTAGGAGTTTTCGATACCAATTAAAAAGACAGAGGCATACAGGGGCAAAGGAACTGCCTACAACAGGTGCAGATGTTGTTCCCAGTGAGACCCACCCGTTCCCCCCCCCAAAAAAAGGCCTTGGGTGACTCTGGGTTGTATGGTGCACTCTGGCCCTGGGGCTCTCTGGTGAAAGATAAGTAGAGTCCAGTTTGCCCCTGTCCTGTCTTCCTCATCTCACGGGCCACAGCGCCCCATGAAAAATGTGCCAACATTGCCTCCAACCCTGTGCCTGGTGGAACCCAGAAAAGGTGTCAGGGTCAGGTGTCAGTTTTATTTTGCTTTCCAAGGCGGTCCTACGATAGAGTCGTAGCTATTTCTAACCGTGGAGAAGTTGGCTAGAAGTCTGAATTCATGAAAATGAGTTATATTAGTTTGAACCTATTTAATTTTGTGCCAAGAACTTACCAGAAGAAGAGAAGAAGGAAGAGGAGGGAGGAACAGAAGAACACGAACAAAGCTGAGCTCCCAACTCTTGCTTTCTCAAGCCCAGATCCCTTTGTCTGAGTTTCAGGGCCTCCTATCATTTGCCCCACCTGCCTGCACCCCACGTTCCCCTGTGGCCCCTGCAGTCTCCATCTCGTCTCCCTCACAGCGGAGCCCTCCTTCCACTGATTGGAATCTAAATCCCCTTAAAGACACAGCCTAAGTACCCCCGTGAATAACAGGAAAAGGAAAAGAGAAAGGATATTTAGTAGAGTAGCTATATCTTGTACCCTCAGTTATAAGCCCTTTTAAACAATATCTGATTTCATTCTCACCCTATGGAGTGAGTAGTAATATCCCCATTTTACTACTAAAGAAATTGAGGCTCCGAGAATTTAAGCAATTTGCTCTTAATCAAAAGCCCAGGTCTGTCTACCAAGTCTTTCCACTGAGGCCTATCTCTGCCTTATCTTTAGTTGAAGTATATTTCTCCAGGACTCCCACCCAGAACGGCCCCACATGGTGCAAAGAGAAGGGCGAGCAGGGGGTAGCAGGAAAGCAAAGAGGAGTGAAAGAACACCCTCGCCTGTGCTCAGTGCAGAGTGCCGTGCTGCTAATTGTCCTTTTTGCTTTATTGATCCAATGGAAACTTTACAGCCAAAAGAAATGTAAAAGGGGATCTCATTCAACCCAGTTTCCCTTCTGTGGCTTGAATTTTCCTCTACAACATCCCCTCCAAGTGGTTACTCAGCCTCCACACAGCCAGGGAACAATACAGAAGCAAAGAATTTTCAAGTTAACGCAGGGGGCAATGAGTAGCTTAGCTTGGCAGGCACTTGCGTAAAATGAGAGAAAGTGACAGGAAATAACGCTGGGAGCCAGGCAGGGGCCAGGTTGTAGAATAATGATAGTAACAATCATGGCTGTAACCATAGCAGTAATAACAGCAAGTGCTTTCTGAGTGCTTTCCATATACTGGGGAGCTTTCCATGTAGTATTTCTTGAATCCTCACACAATCCTATGACAGTGGCACCGTTATTTTCCTCATTTTGCAGATGAGGGAATCCTAGAGGGATTAAATAACTTCCCCAAGAAAACACAACGCAAGCCAAAGATAGGATTTGAACTCAGACTGGCTGGCTCAGAAGCCGCCTCATTTAAACACTACTCTTCTCTAGAATCCTAAGGCCTTTTAAAGACTTTTTTCCATATGCCAGATAAGGGTAAAGTTATATTCTGTTTTAATCAACTGTCTAGCTTTTTCATCATGTAGACGTTTTTTCTCTTTTTCTTTTTTTTTTTAAGAAACAGGTTCTCTCTATGTTGCCTAGGCTGGTCTCAAGTTCCTGGGCTCAAGCAATCCTTCCACCTTGGCCTCCCAAAGTGCTGGGATTACAGGCGCGAGCCACTGCACCCAGCCTACATCATGAAGACATTTAAACACAGATA